TTGAAATTCAAAAAGGTCATAAATAAACAAGACGACAACAAAACAAATCAAATATAATCGTTATATGAGATCAATATACCTTTCTCTATTCACTTTCTTCTGATGTGAACAGTGAACAACAATCTTTGTGTTTAGTATTTTCAATTAACATGGTTCGTTAAAGCTGGCGTAAAACAAATGACTATGAAAAGAAACTGTGTCAATTTAGCAATTAGAAAATTCCAAGGCCTGTCAATTTTTAAGTTGACTATACTGTCAAGTTTTTCTGATGACTTACAATAAATAACATAAATACCTATATTCAAATAAAGCAATGGTGAATGGTATAGATCTCTCTTAGTTCAATATAATATAGCCTGTGTCTTTATACTTCTTTTCGAAAACCTAGCCTAGGTTTTAATATGTAAATCTACATTGCTTATTCCGGAATTTAGTTATCTGGACGGAAAAAAAATTAGAGAATTCTACTATAAAATTGTGAATTCAAATCTGTTGCTTTAACTAGCAGACATAAAATATTGTATTATTGCTTTAACTAGCAGACATAAAATAGTTGTATCACAAATATTGTGTGAAATGAAGATTGTCACGTCACACAAAAGAACGGAATTTCTTAATGACGTACGTAACCCCGTTAAGCGAATCTAGCTATCGCTCCGGTGCCGCTAAATATTTTGAAGTCAAACTTTCGGATACGCTATTTAAACTGGTTCTGCACATTTGGGTTTTAATTTACATACTTAGAAACACTTTAAACAACAGTATCCTTGTGCATTCTGGCACTGCTCCTGTAAGTGGTAAAATATATATATAATGGGCATATTCGTATTGGAGATTGTTTTCCTTATTATGTTTTTATTTATATTATAGTGAATGTTTCAGTTAATACCATATTTTGTAATGAAAGTTCTGGGCCATCCTGGTTTGTTTATATCCTGTCTATTCAGTGGTGCATTAAGGTAATTATACTTTATGACATTCTACACTTTCATACAAATTACATGTCATGTAAACGGAAACGTTTTGATACAAATGCGTCTAATTTTGTAAAGGTAGAAGATACCAAAGAAATGATTTTTACACCGTCATTATATTTTACTTCATCTTGATATGTCTTGTTTTCCCTTTAAAGCAGTTAATGTAACTCAATATCATCCAAAGTCTTCGACATTGAAAACACGAATTATTTGTCAATTTATATCAACGTTGATGTTGTGATCTTACCGGGAAAAGGTTGGCTTCTGATATCCAATATGTAAGATAAAATAAACAATTTATGTGTTTCAGCGCCATTTGTAACATGGGACTCGAAGAACGAGGCTAGACATATTCCACAAGTCATATCAAACGGTGACGTCATATTATTATCTTAAGAGCATGCGCACTAAATACTTTCGGTATAGACTGGAATAACCAGACGGTAGAGATCACCATTCAATTAAGGCTTCTGGCGTTTTTCGCCGAACATAACTGATTTGAAATCACAATAAAAGGGAAACGATTGAATTTAAATCAGTTTATATACATTCATATTATATCATAATATACCTTGCGACCTATTTGTTACAATTTCTAGGTCCCAAATATTAGCGATTTAGCCCCTTTAACCTAATACACTGGTATGACTGAAAATTATAGACTATTAACCAATATTTTTAGCTCCTTCAGCTCTTTAATTATTTCTATATTATGTTTTACAGTTTCATGATTTGTATGTTCAATTTCAGGTCAACCAGTAAAGTATATTTTTTTCACAATTCTGTGGTGGATATTTTTTTTAATGAAATATAAATGAAAGGGCCGCGATTTCGTTGTTCAGTGTAAGACGACGGTTTCTGCGTGTTTTTATAATAGTGACCAACGATTTCATTGCATCCGTATATGTGTCTAGAGAGAACATGTCACCCGATAGTCGTGTTTGTCATGTCTCGTAAGGCAGAGAGGCTTCTTTTTTGAGTTTTTAAATATGGTGATCATATGCAAATGCCACAATTATTTAGCCGGAAACTTCAGATTGTATAGAATATATAGCTAGTTTATTTTTCTCGGTGGTTTACGTTTGACAACCCATTCTTTAGACTTAAAAAGAATGTAATATAAGTTCGTTTCCGTTTAGCAATCTTATTCCCCACATTTAGATGTAGATAGCTGAGTGGCTTAGAGTCCGTCTGCGTCATTTTGGAAAGTATCAAATTTCTATAATATTGACTATATTTAAAGTAATATTACTTGTATTTGTTTCTCTTATTACGATGTCGTCATGTTTAAATGCTCTAGCTGCTGTCACATTGAAAGATTTTTTTCAAACCACATTTCGATTACCTGATTGAACCAGCGCCGCCAGGCAAGATACGCCCAAATTTTGCAAGAGATGGATAGAGAACAATTTAAACAAAAAGCGATTGTTCGTACAATCAAGGGTTGATATAATTCAGGACGTTACGACCCGATATGCGCGAATATCGACAGGAACCAAGATCCTTGGGTTATAAACATGCATTTCAAGTTCTATCAAAATCAGATGAAAATTGTGTCCTCTAGAGGGTCCACAACCTTGATATACCATATATTTACACTATTTGCGGACGAGGTGTGTCCATTTTGTCCGGCAGTTTTCACGAAATTCGTAATCAAGCGTCATCACAGTGTAACGGTGATATATTTTAACGGATCGTTAAAATAACTGAGTTTTGAGCAACCGGCCCCTGGACATTCAGGTCATATGGAATAACCTTTGGGGGGAAAATTGGAAAGTTGTCTTGATATTCATATACTTCTCAAATATGAACAAAACTGAACCACACACATTGCAGACTTCCAGATATAGGTATATCACCAGATATTCGACCTGTGCTTAGTCAGATAGAATGTAATGTCAATACTTTGTATACAAAAGAGGCCATCACTTACATTTATCATGCTGTATTCCAGTTGACGACTTTTCCCGCGAATAATATCACAATTTAGGGCTTATCATCGCTTCCAAACTGTTTCACAGCTGTAATGCGAAAGCCTTTAAATTCTTTAACACTTTCTAAGCGTCACGCCCAGTATAGTGTTATGTGTGACGTCAAATCATATGGTGTCGATACGTGCGCTGTTTACATCCTTCGTAGTAATACAAATTGGTCTGAGCAGAACTGGCGCCCTTGTCCGTCCGTCAACATTTTGTTTGTGAACACTCTACAGGTCCTAAATTTTATCCGATTTTGACAGAACTTGAAACACAGGGTTATGTTTCAAAGATCTCGGTTCCTGTCGATATTAAGACATGTATTGGAGAGTAAATTAATGGATTATGGCCCTGATTGTAGGAGAAATCACATTTTTAGTTTGTTAACCCTCTAGAGGTCATATTTTTTTTTTTTTTTAAAACCGTTCCAAATATATCACTGTTACACCATAATTACGGTTGAGTTCGAATTTCGTTAAAATCGGATGGAGACTGACGAAAAGACCGCTCCCCTTTACGCAAATAGTATAATACCAAGATCGTGGACCCTCTAAAGGTCACAATTAAAATTAGGGCGTATCTTGCCTGGCAACCGTTTGTTAAACGAAGTGATTATCATATTATCAGTTTCAAATGCCTGAAATATATCAAGGTCAGCAAATCTGGCGATGACCCTTTAATTTAAAGGGTGTATAGCTCTATTCTTTGGAACCTTACAATCGACCAAAATGGGTCAAAGAGCATTTATTACATGAGCGCATATAAAGTAATTTAAATTCAATTATTTTTTTATTGTAATTTCTGTTCGGTGAAATACGTGGAACGCCAAAACTGAACGGCGGTCGTTTGCGCCTGTTTAATCCATTTTTCGTTATTTATTTTTTTGTGGGTCAGCTATTTTTAATTACTTTCGCATGGTTTCGTGGGATATGTTTTTCGTTGTTCATTACAAATGGCGTGAGAAACCATAGAGTATACGACGTCGTTTACTGGTTTAAAAACTACTCGGTAAATATTGGATATTAAGGTGCCATATTTTCACAGCAACTATATTGATTGAAATAGACCAATATTGATTTCTAATTCTTATTTTTGATTTGGAATATTATGAAAAATATTGAGTTAGAGGGTTAGCTTCTTTAGTGTATCACTCACAAATTGGAGATTTTAATTCCAGCGCATTAATTAGCTAATATGGAAATTAGTTGTTTATCTAAGGTGTTATCAACGAGGTCTTATATTTCATATAAATACGTTTACTGCATAATGACATACGGTTAATATATACACTTTACATTTTTAATATATTGCAGTTACGGGTAGGCAATTTCAATGAGTAAAGAATCCCCGATCTGAGTTGAAGGAGGATTGGGGAGGGAGGCTATGGAGTTGTACACTATTGTTATATATTTTGAAATGGTATTTGATACCCAATAAAACAAATTATTAATTAAGTACTGGGCATTTCTGTTAAAGTGGGTGTGGGTGTGGATATGGCCCATTGCCCCCCCCCCCCGCCTCCAGGTCCTTCGGTTTCCTCCCACTGCTAAAGACCCCTACGCGCAAGCGAATTATTGAAATAAAATTGAACCGTGTGTTAATCCCGGAATGACCTAGTTTGTGTCGAGTGGACGTTAAACCCCAATTCTCTCTCTCTCTCTCTCTCTCTCTCTCTCTCTCTCTCCCCCCATTGCCCCCCCCCCCTGCATCTAACCCTGTATGTGCCACTGATTCAAGCTAATGTATTGAGTTATATATTAAAAACCGGGAAAATGTAACTGTTTAGATATATTTTGGGAAATTGTTTCCTTAACAGATCTACATAATATGTATTTTAACACTTTAAAATAAACTAACAAAGCCTAGTTAATCTATTATTGGAATTCAAAAGATGCTTCCTTTTTGCATTGGGTTTAAGTGTAGGCCATTGCTTGGTCACGTACAAGTCGGATTTACGACCCCATCGTATCCACAATTTACTACGCTAAAAGTTGCGAGCAAACGTCACGTGTCACGTAATCGGTAATGTAAATAGGACATATTTTGACTATTGGCACATAGGGGTGTTACTCTCGCTGTCATAACTTTATATTTTAATTATTAGCGATAAGTCAGATACACTGGGTGTGAGACAATTATTGTTATTTGGGGTAGTTTTCCAATGGATGTTTTAAAGTGTGTGACATTGGGCTTGCTCTTTTCTTTTTCTAACTGTGAACTTGAAGGTAAGATTTACTGATATTGGTGATGCCATTCTCCGCAGAATTTTCAAGTCAATTTTGTTTAAAATGTAGCATTAGCGTATATTTCTATATTTGTCATAAGCCCAGTGGTTTCATTTTATAGTCGCTTTCACATTTAAACATAAATATGATAATAATTGTATATTGGCGGAGGTTTGTGCTCAAATATCGAACCGGGCGGCACAAATTCTAGTCATGAATATTGTTATGAAATAATCGTTTTTGCTTCAGTATCGTAAATTGTATCAGACAATGACTTTATATAATACACCATTATATTCGAAATGAAATGAAATGGGGTTTAACATGTACTGCTCCCGTTCGGCTAATGAAGACGGGCATATATACGCCATAGCAGTGTGCTATGAGGGTAATTTTGCTGAGACCTATATTGAATTCCAACTGCAAAGGTATATTTTGCGTCCACGCTAATATGTACACGGGACCTCGGGTTTTCATTACATCCGAACGGTTGTACTTTGTCCCTTGCCAGCCCCCCTCTGTCCCGCACCACTGACCGGGGGGGGGGGGGGGCACGCCCCATTCTACCAGTGGTTGGTGAATTTGACGTTCTACCTCTTCGTGATTTATGTTATGAAATACAGAATCTTTCTGATGAGGCTATCCCGAGAAAACGACAAGCATGGGCCAATTATGTTAAAATTAACATATGTAAATCTCCCCCCAAATACAAGTAAACGCTTCAACACAATTGTATAGATTTGGGTTCTATTTTCATTCTTAACATCAATTTTTAGCTGTTATCTCATGCGGTTTTGCATAGAAGTTACAATTGAAAAGACTAAAATGATAAATTTAGGTTTATTTAGAGTCTGCCAAAATACGGTACGTGATCTTTTGTTACCCTTAGCTTCTTTCTATATATGGAAAACCATGTATGAACAAAACTCAGCAATGTTTACCCACTTTTAGAGACACCTTTTGTGATGGATAAAAAATTAAACTTAGTCATTGCTATTGTTGTTATTTTGTCTAATAATGGCAAAAACAAATCATTGTAATCTCATCTTTTTTTTATTTCCTGTGTTGCCAAGGAAATGACGTGTATTTTTATTCTTTTTATTTAACAATTGAACTAAGATTATTGAGTTAGAAGAATGCCTTTAGAGTATTTACGTTTATAGCATATTTACATTTCCAATGCATGAGATACGATTATCGGCCATAGTTATGGCTGTGTGTGCAACAAATTCCAGAAGCAATGGAGTCGAGCATTATTGGGTGATTACCATTTGCTACACTTAGTATAGTAAAGCAGTGTTTGTGATTAGTTATCTTCCCTTGGTTCTAGTTCCTATATCGACCGGGCCATGTATACTATTGCAATTCGAAACGGCCATCTCGAGATTTCAACTTGCAATTTGTCTCTTAATACCACCTGAATTGTGATGAACAACACATTCCAGAAAAGCTTCATGGGGGCCCAATATGTGATGTACACTAATTGTAGTATCTATGAAAGTACGAAGTAAAAACATCAACGGCCAAACGAAAACCATAAAAAATAGCTCACTTACTATCTATCAGGGATGGCAAGTTAAATTATTATTAACCATGATTATTATAGAGGTTGTTATTAACGAAAGGCTGTTTATTTAAATACGATCAGTCTTGTTTTATTGATGGTCTGAAAGTTTAATTAGATAATGTGAAATATTTCTGCTTAATAAAAGCGAAGACTTTAAGCACGACATGTAATTAATATACCAAGAGTCTTAATATGGCAATGCATGCATGTGTTTTTCATTGTAATACTTCACATTATAACGTAACATTTCCGTCATTTTCCTCTAGAAAACATGACATTGTATTCATGGGTCACAGATGGTTGAAACAGTACAGTCAATAATAAGCAAACAATCTGCCATCCAGGACTGTCTAAACGCATGGGCACGTTGGACAGTTCCTTGTGGCTCCCACGAGTATAGGGGTCCAATCTTTGATGCACAGTATGTTTTTTAATGTTTAAACACGGATTTTGTTGGATGAATCAATACAATGAAATGTTTAATTGTATCGACAATTTACATTTTTATTCCTGTGAGTGGTTTTGTCGGTAGGTTCCCTAGTACACTACTTTGCCATAGGGCCATTAATGCTATAAAGAAGGCCCTGTTGCCACATTGCTATAATAATTATTGTGTGATGAATTAGAATTTATTGCCAAAAACATGTAAACAATGTCAAGAATTTACGACATGGACGACATATGTTTTGATTACATTAGTCAACACTGTCATAAATTATATCAGGCCTGAAAATAAAATGGAGATAAAATTTAAATATTTTTGACAGCATGTTATATTTATTTTCAGTAAAATGGTGTGTGACATCTGCAAAAGAGAAAGTAAAATGTGAATCATTAAGAACATATACAGCTAGTAATGGTATAGGTCAACTACGATGTGTACCGGTAGGTTAACATTACGTAATCTTAAAACACATAACACTGGCACCGTGACTACGGTGAGATATTAAATTCTAAGTAATATGAAGAACTCATAAAATCTGAGCAATTTGCAATAAAACTCAATTATTGGTACAAGCATATACAATACTCGGACTATTGAGAGTTTTGGTCTTTGACTTTCATAACATGTATTCCTTCTGAAAACATCATACCCTTCAATAATATACAATCACATTAAAATATTGCACTTTATACAATTAGTAATACCGGAAATGAGATGAAATCATTTTGAATTATGCTTAAAGGTAACATAATACTAGTATGTATAATGTCCATCCACGTATAATGTTACAGACTGCTAGTAGATATGAATGTTGGAGATGGATTAGAGATGGTAAAGCTGATCTCATCAGAGTTGATGATACAGAGATATACGCTGCTGGAAATCTGTATGGACTTATTCCTGTAGCCAAGGAATCCTTTTCTGTGGGTGAGTATGTAACTTTATTCTGACTGGTTGGTCCTTATGCTAGTAAATGCATGTATACTCTATAGCTGCAACAGATCACAGGTCTTTCATATATAGAAATAACGAGTACCACCTCACCATTGTATGTAACAAGAAGAGGGATCTCCTGCAAAATTAGAGGACATAATTTGAATTTGCACCCTCCGTTCTTACAGTTTTTAACAATCGTGTATAACCATAATCTGATTACTTGCAGACCGTAACGCCGACACATTCATGTATAAAGCTGTGGTGATGATAAAGAAAGATGGACCTATTAAATCTCTCCATGATCTTAGAGGTCGGAAATCGTGTCACACGGGAGTGAGAAAAACTGTTGGCTGGGTAATACCCGTATCCTTCTTGTTCCAGAAAAGAATCATGTCTCAAGCAGATTGTGATAATACTGTTAAATCAGTAGCTGCATTCTTCCAACAGAGCTGTGCTCCTGGAGCCTTTGTTAAAATCAATAATCCTGGTGGTAAGTATCGTTTCTAAAGTCCAGTCGATTGGTTGGTCTTTAGCATGTGCGACTTGTTTGTCTTCTTCTACAAAATGAGTCTTACGAATTCATAAGATGACTTATCCACTCTAGCTTGTGTCATATATACTATTCAAAAAAAGTAGGGGATATTTGATTTTTAAGTGTTATTAAAGTCACCTAATGAAACTGACGAAGAAACAAATGACAAAATGAAATGGAGTTCACATTCATCGATTTATTCCAAATGATCGTTAGACTAAGTAAGGCACAGACTGACCATTATAAGGGTAAAATGATACCCGGGGTCAAACAGCAAAGTTACCACAGCATCACAACCAAGTCAGTAACGGGTAAATCCTCCTCTGTTTGCCAAACAAGCATTGATCCGACGTGGCATACTCCTAATGAGACGTCTAAGGTCATTTTGGTCCAGATTGTCCCATTCCTGTTGCAACGCAGCAGCAAGTTCTTGGACATTGGCAGGACGTTGTTGACGTTGACGTAACCTCTGTCCAAGCATGTCCCAGACATGCTCGATGGGGGAGAGGTCGGGACTCAGTGCTGGCCAAGATAATGTGGTGATGTTCTGTTGTTGGAGGTAACCTGTAACGATCCTGGCCCTATGACATCTTGCGTTGTCATCCTGGAAGATGAAACGGCGGCCATGACGTCGTGCGAACGGCACAACATGGACTGCCAAGATGTTGTCCCGGTAGTACTGGCCTGTAACACGCCCTGCAACAACATGTAAAGCCGTTCTTCCAGCAACAGTGATGCCTCCCCACACCATAACAGAACCACCCCCAAATCGATCATGTCTGATGACGTTAACGTCTTGGAAGCGCTCGTTTCGACGACGCCACACCCTCCTACGTCTGTCCAAAAAATCAACAGTGAACCTTGACTCATCTGAAAACATCACATTGCTCCAGCGTCGATTATCCCAGTGTTGACGATCCCTACACCAACGACGTCTTGCCTGAATGTGATGATCTCTCAAACAAGGGATCACGCGAGGACGTCGGGCGCGAAGGTGACCCCTATGCAGTCGATTCCGAATCGTCTGGCCACTCACTCTCACACCAGTGTCTGTTTGAAGACGAGCGCTGATCTGATTTGCTGTGATGACACGATTTCTCAAGGCCAAGGTACGGATAAATCGATCCTGGGCTTGAGTTGTCGCCCTTGGTCGACCTGAGCGTGGTCTGTCCTGTACAGATTGTGTATCACGGTATCTGGACCATAGCCTGCTTATGACAGACTGAGAAACATTCATCGTCCGCGCCACAACCGCCTGTGTTGTGCCGATCTGTAGCATGCCAAGGGCACGTAACCTTTCATTTTGGGTAAGCCGACGCATATCAAAATTTGTTTTCTGGTCACTAAAACAATTAAACTGATGTTTCCACCCTGGAATTCAATGCCACAATGACTGTAACATTCAAAGTCAGAGTCGTGCAAATCTTGGGTTGGACCCCCATGATGATCCCAAGCATCACCTGCATTCCATGCGGTAGCTATTGGTGCGTTTGGGCGTCACATGTAACTGGAAATGTTTCTTCTGTTAGGTTCTATAGTGACTTTTTTCGTAGTCATTTACATATTTTAGTATTATGCCCCCAAAATCAAATATCCCCTACTTTTTTTGAATAGTATATTTGAAGATCGCGATAACTACTTTTTGATGTGTTCGTTGCATCCAGACGCAGGAATGAAAACTCTGGATTCTTTGAATACATATCTACTGTCTCTTATAATATTATTATGCACATATGCTACATACTGAGAGGGATTTTGAATAGACTAAAACTGTTACACAATCTCATTAAGATATATATTGAATTTATTATCCTTTATGAAATTTATTTATATGTTAAATTACACGAAATTGTGTTGTTATTTATCTGCAGGAGACAACCCCACCAACGTCTGTGAAATATGTGACAGTAAAACATGTCCGACCAATGACAGATATTCATCTTATTTGGGAGCCTTTTCTTGTTTGAATAATGGTTTGGGCGAGGTAGCATTTGTTAAACACTCTACAATAGACGATGCTATCGCTAGTGGAATGCAGGTAAACAAAGAAACGTTTCGTCTGTTGTGTGCTGATGGCAGTTTAAAACATGTAAACGAATGGAACAAATGTTACTGGGCTACGAGACCTACCGATGTTATAGTTACATCTCCAGATAAAAATGATTACGATGTTGGACAATTACGTCATTTCTTAGAAAACCTCAATTCGTCTGCCTCTGTTAACTTCTTTTCTTCTTCTGCGTTTGATGGAAAAGATTTGATGTTTACTGATAATGTTAAGGCATTAGTTGGTGTTGGGTCATCCCAGTCTAATTACAGAACATATTTAGGTAAGTCCGCTCATTTTTCAGGTTGTTAAGTCAATTATAATATTGATTATAAATATTGATTGTCGAAGAGAAGTTAGCCACAGTAAGAATCATTTGAGCTTGACCACAATCTAAGCACGGAAGTTGGGAGGTGTCTTGAGACTGGGGCTAGGACTGGTGATACTCGGGCTGGGGTTAAGTGGGTTATAAACACACTTTTTTCTGGGTTTGGACTGATGCCTCCAAAACAGCATTACTTTGGTGGATTTCCGCCAGTTAAAGGACTACGCAGGTGAAAATTTTATGGAATACAATGATCATTGCTTGATAAAAACTAGAGAATTCAAGTACTAGAGAATTCAAGTTAAAGCGTCGCTCAGTAATAAACAGAAATTGTATTCCATAAATGTATGTCTTGTTTATTTATAGTTGAATTGCTAAATAAATGCCTTTGAAACAAGTTATAGGACAGAGCCGGCGGAAGCAATTCTTGATTGCGGGACTACCATCCTAGGTCCTTAGGCGAGGGTGCAGGGGCCGCCTAGCTCTTGGAGGTTTAGATCGTCGACCGACAACGCTTTCTGGGCGATTTTTGGCTAATAAAATTAATTGGCTTTGCAGGAAGTGAAATTTTATTACTTTTTAACTACCTTACCATGAAAACACTCTATGGTGGTTTAATCATGTGATGCTGAACTTGACAAATATAATACCAAGGTTGTGGACACTTTAGAGGTTACAATTTTTATCCGATTTTGATGAAACTTACAATGTATGTTTATTACCGAAAGATTTCGGTTCCTTTTGATATTGTGGCATATAGGACCGTCACTTCCTGGATTATGGCCCCTGATTGTACGAACAATCACATTTTAGTTTGTGGACCCTGTAGAAGTAACAGTTTTCATTTGATTGTAAAAACCGTTCAATTATATCAGATCACAATTTTTATCCGATATTGACGAAACTTGAAATATTGGTCTATCTCCCATGCAAAGATCTCGGTTCCTTTCGAAACTGACATGTATCGGACCGTAACTTCATGGATTATAGCCCCTGATTGTACGAAAAATCGCGCTTTTAGCTTGTGGTCCCTCTAGAGGTTACAATTTTTATCTGATTTAAAAGCCGTTCGAATATATCACCGTTACACCATAATTACGGTTGAGTTCACATTTCCTGAAAATCGGACCGAACTGTCCGACAAAATGGCCGCTCCCTAAGAGAGAGAGAGAGAGAGAGAGAGAGAGAGAGAGAGAGAGAGAGAGATGGGGTTTAAAGTCCACTCGTCACAGACTAGGTCATTTCGGAACTAACATATGGTTTTAATTTTATTTCAATAATTCGCTTGCGCGTAGAAGCCTGAGAAAACCCACGAGGTTGGAGTATGTAAACAGGGCTAGCGCTAACCCCAACCCAAGATCTAGCCTTTACCCTAACCCACAATCCTCGGCAAACATCACGTGCCCTACCCCTCTTTACATCTCGTGACCTTAACGAAATCTGTCGGTGGCTTTAATATTGAGATCTGACCGTAATGTCCAGATTGTAGAACATCCCGCAGTTCGAATTTTTTATCCAATTTTGATGAATGAAACTTAAAGTAGCTAAGTCTCTAACTCAATATCGCCCCAAATCTTTGACATTGAAAACATAATCTAATTGTCTATTTAAATCAACATTGATGTCGTGATCTTACCAGGAAAAGATGGGCTTCTGATACCCAATATTTAAGACAAAATAAACATTTTACCATTGGTACACGAATCGTGTACCATGATGCATTTCAGTGTCATTTGTAACAAGGGACTCGAAGAACGAGGCTAGACATATTCCACAAGTCATGTCTAACAGTGACGCCATATTCTTATCTGAAGAGCATGCGCAATAAATACTATCGGTGTAGACTAGAATAACCAGACGATAGAGATTGTCATTCGATTGAGACCTCTGGCGTATTTCGCCGAACATAACTGATTAGAAATTAGAGTAAAAACGGAAAAGATTGAATGTAAATCAGTTTATATACATTCATATTATATTATTATGTGCGTTGCGACCCATTTGCATCAATTTCTAGGTCCCAAATGTTAGAGATTTGGCTCCTTTAAAATATATATTTATATCCCAAATATCTGGGTTCCTGTCGATATTGGCGCGTATTGGACCGTAAACTTCTCTGGATTATGACCCCCTGATTGTACGAAATATCACGTTTTTAGCTTATTGGTTCTCTAGAGGTCATATTTTTGTATACTCAGCCAAATTAAAAACTTGACACTCGGGATTTTTGGGACTAGATTTTTAATATTTGGTTTAAGGCAACTATGTTAGTGTTATGTTGTGCACAGACGACTTTGACATCAACAGAAAGCAAGAATACGTCTCGCCGAAAGTCCTTGACATTGATAACGTTCGTGATGTCACAGTACCCCCCAAAATGAAATTCACAGACTTGGAGAACAATCGGAATAAAGTGTTTAGTAACGGTTGTGGCCTCCTCTAGCGTCTCGTACTGCCACACAACGTCTTCTCATGGATCTCAGAACATTAGTAAACACTACCCGAGGAAGACGTCGCCACTGCTCAGCAAGATCATGTTGAAGGTCCTGCAACGTCAGTGGTGAATTCACTTGCTGACGAACACGTCGACCCAGTTCGTCCCAGATGTGTTCAATAGGATTAAGGTCGGGGCTTAGCGACGGCCAAACCAGGACTTGGACACCGCATTTCTTAAAAAATCCTGGGTACAATTTTGCAGAAGATCCCCCTTCTTGTTACATACAATGGCGAGGTGGTACTCGTTATTTCTATATATACTCAGCCAAATTAAAAACTTGACACTCGGGATTTTTGGGACTAGATTTTTAATATTTAGTTTAAGGCAACTATTTTAGTGTTATGTTGTGCACAGACGACCTTGACATGAACCGGAAAGTAAGAATACGTCTCGCCGAAGTCCTTGACATTGATAACGTTCGTGATGTCACAGTACCCCCCAAAATGAAATTCACAGACTTGGAGAACAATCGGAATAAAGTGTTTAGTAACGGTTGTGGCCTCCTTTAACGTCTCGTACTGCCACACAACGTCTTCTCGTGGATCTCAGAACATTAGTAAACACTACCCGAGGAAGACGTCGCCACTGCTCAGCAAGAGCATGTTGAAGGGACTGCAACGTCAGTGGTGGATTCACTTGCTGACGTACACATCGACCCAGTTCGTCCCAGATGTGTTCTATAGGATTAAGGTCGGAGCTAAGCGACGGCCAATCCAGGACTTGAACACCGGCATTTCTTAAAAAATTCTGGGTAGCAATTGCTGTATGGGGTCGAGCATTGTCTTGTTGAAACGTTAGTCCAGGCCCATGTCTCTGCATAAATGGAAGAAGGACAGGTTGCAAAATCTGATCCCTGTACTGGACAGCATTTAAGTTCCCTTGGACAACAAGAAGAGGAGAACGTCCATGTGCACAAAAAGAACCCCAAACCATGACGCTGCCGCCACCAAATCGGTCAACTTCTCTGACGCATACTTGAGCGTAACGTTCACCTCGTCTGCGGTACACTCGGACCCTGCCATCAGCAAATCTCAAAGTGAATCGAGATTCGTCACTAAAGACAACCGAATTCCACTGTCTTTGAGTAAATCTTATGTGTCTTGTGGCCCACACAAGTCGGTTACGGCGATGAAGAGGTGTCAATATTGGTCCATTATAGGGCCTCCGAGGTCGAAGACCAGCAGCCTGCAAGCGATTTCGAACAGTTTGTGCAGTTACCCTTCCACCAAACATCTCTCTACTTGTGGAGGTTGCAGTGACAAATCTGTTTCTAAGATGACGTAATCGTATTGCTTGATCTTCCTGGAGAGTGACGTCACACGTGGCGCTCCCGCCCTTGGGCGGCCGGCAATAGTACCAGTTTGAAGCACTCTCATTCTAAGATTAATTATTGTCTGGCGTGAACAATTAAAGGCTCTTGCAACAGTGACCACAGACTGACCAGCATAGAGCCTACCTATAGCACGTAGACGTTCTCCATTTGAAAGGCGCGGCATTTTCTAACAAAGATGAAAATAACAATTTTAATTAGTTTTTCCAGTTCAAGTTACGTGTGCGTGTTCAGTTTAAGCAAACTTGCATCGATTAACCTCACGAGTTTGTGTTTGCACGTGTTTTTCAGGTTTTTCATCTTTATATGCTCAAAAGTCATTATGAAATTAAAGGCTTCTTACTACTTACTATCGTTAGAAACACTTTAAAATTTATTTGACTTACCAGAAAAAAAAATTTGTTGAAATTCATCAGTGTCAAGTTTTTAATTTGGCTGAGTATATTTTGTATCTTATTTTCAAAACTGTTCAAATATATCACCGTTACACCATAATTACTTCCTCAAAATCGGACCGAAACTTCCCAGTCAATTACCCACTCCCCTTTAAGAAATTAGTATAGTAAAAGCATGTAATACCCGGGTTGTGGACGATCTAGATGTCACAATTGTATCCGATTTAGATGAAACTTAAAACGAGTATCACTAGTTCTTGGGTGAGTTCAATTTTCGTACGCATCCACCCCTACCTTTTACACAAAATGTGAAATATGAATGAAGTTTGTGGACCTTTCACTATGAAACTTAAACTGTGTGTTAAGGATCAAAAGTTCTTGGATGAGTTCGACTTTGGTAGCAGCAGACCTTACATTCTAGAGCTAAAGCCTCTGCTGTTCGAGCAAAATTTGCAGTAAGCATGACAATAGTCAATGAGTTGGTGATACCCATAAGCATTGCTTCAGGAGTAAGGTCCATTAGATGTGATTACAATACCAATACAGAGAATAAAGACACAAAGCCAACGTGCATAACTCTGCTTCTTTTTTCAGATGCGGGGTATTTGAGTAGTATGGAGAACTTTACTAATTGTGGTGTTAGTTTTAAATGGTGTGTAATATCACTGACAGAATTAGATAAATGTAATGATATGAGAGCTGCTATGATCTCGAAACGTTTAACACGTGAGCTCCAATGTGTTATGGCTGTTAGCCATGAAGACTGTATAGATAAAATCGAAAAAGGTGTGGCTGATGTTACTATATTAGATGGCGGGGATTTATATACAGGTGGAAGGTAAATTATCAACTACAGACATTTCGTAATAACCATTTCTCTAATAAACAGAACTTCTTTAATGGAACTCTTGCATTCACGAACGAATATTGTTGTTTTAACTGCTGACTTGCTGGCGATGAAAGCCAATAAAAGCCTACTATAACGCCAGTAAATGTTCCTTAAATTTGTATTAACGTAGATGCGGGAGTAACCATTAAAATAGCACTGGTGTCATTCAGGCAGTCGAGAATTGCATTTATGGGTATCGGTCTTTTGTTCTACTAGATTATATAATTATGATTAAAACGTCCTTTAAAATAGATTCGTAGACGTTATTTCAACATAAGGCAATTGCTGTTGATGAGCACCCAAAACATATAAGAACATTGTTTGTTATATTGCAATGTTCACTTACCCTTCTATTTTTGTTATATTTTCGAATTAGACCCCTGCCCACATATTCTCACTCCACACCCTCACTTGGTTGTTCATAATAATGTCACCCATTTTGGTTATTTTAGGTATCAAGGCATTGTACCAATAGCAGCAGAAACATATAAAAATGTTGATGCAGAAAGTACAAGTTACTGGGCAGTAGCTGTTGTACGTAAAGAAAACCGTGGAGTTAATATCAAAAACCTCAAAGGTAAAATTCAACTCTGTGATTTTGGGATTCGTTTGTTCTACTATTATCTACGCCATCGTTTCTGATCTGGTTCACGATAAACACGTCCGGGGTGTTTACCATTGTCTTTAAAAATTGGCAATATATAATCCTTTTCTTGTTTTTGATTGCCCTATCAGCATGGTGAATGGTTTTCTTCACATTGCGTGGAAATGCTCTCCCGATGGCATTCGCAGGTTTATGCTTTGGTTCTTTTCTGTTATTGTTTCACCGCGTTACTTCAGATAACGGCATATCATTATGATAGGTAAAATGTAATATATAAGTATATTTGATATTTGGGCCCCGTCGTCTCTCAGGATGTTTTCGCGATTTCAAAATGGTTTCTGTACATGAAAATAATGTCGGCATTGCTATAGTAACTAAATAAAAAAATGTTTATTTTATTTAACAGATTCCCGGTCATGCCATACTGGTATTATGAAAACGTCTGGCTGGAATGTTCCAATTGGTCTCCTTATTGAAAGAGGAGAGATCAAGAAAACTGATCCATGTAATATTGCTACAAATGTTGGAGAATTCTTCAAAGAAAGTTGTGTTCCGGGAGCTTTAGATCCGGAATATGACCCACATGGTAGAAATCCTGAAAATCTGTGTAAGCTTTGTGGCGGAAAAGAGTTCTGTAAACGAGATGCTACAAATAAGTACTACGGCTACCAAGGGGCACTACGTTGTCTGGTGGAGAAAAACGCAGACGTGGCGTTTGTTAAACACACAACTGTCGTTGATATCGTAAATAGCGCTTCAAAGGAACCATGGTCTCAAAATTTACAACTGTCCAATTTTGAACTTTTATGTCAAGATGGTTCTAGAAAACCGGTGACTCAATGGGCGACGTGTAATCTAGCACAGGTTCCGTCACATGCTGTGGTCACTAGTAAAAGGACGCCAGCAACTACAAGAAAGCATTATCAACGAATATTAAGTCAAACACAGTATTACTATGGTAACATTAGTACCATTTTCCATTTATTCCGTTCCCCAAGCGGTTCCAAAGACGTCATATTTAAGGACAGTACAGTTGAATTAACAAATATTCCAGAGTTTAAACAGGATTATAAGACATGGCTTGGTGCTGAATACCTTAGATCACTAGAAGCTATTGACGTTCATCAGTGTTCTAATGGTGTAGTAGCGAGAATTAATATTGGTATAATATTAATGTATACATTAGTCTTATTAATGTAACATATTTTACTTAATGATACAAATGTATTCATGTCACACATATTTTTAATGACTTCCATGGTTAAAGATGCATTATGTAAGGGCTAAATCTGCCTATGGGGGGTCTTTTTGCTAGTCTCATTTTATTATTTAAAGATTTATTCACATGACAAGCCCATAATCAACTCTCTAGATATTTAATGGATTAGAACCCACTTGCCATACTCGACAACCGAAACTATCTTGTAACAAAGTCAAACCTTTATCTTGTAAAGTAATTTGACTGAAATTTTCAATATATTCATTTCTCATTATTTATATTTGAACCATTATAACAAGAATGACCCGCTCATTATCTAAATCTTACATAATGCATCTTTAATGGACAAATTTATTATTTCATATTTTGAGTTCACCAATATTGACCTCAAATCCAAACAGCTAACACTTTTTTATTGTATTTATTTAAACAATCTTAAGCGACCCGAGCAAATATTATTTTATATATTTAAGTTATGTCCAAGTAGCAAACACTTTTTGATGTATTTATTTAAACAATTTGTTTATAGTGACCCCGATTATACCTGAACTGTATATCCTATCAGCAACGCAGTGTTTTTCTTTTCGGATAAAATACAATAGAGAATTTAGCCTTTATAACTAACGTAAAATCAAACTCTTTTTATATATTTATATAGTCGTTTGGGTGGGTCGAAAAACCATGGTCTCGTGTACACGTTGGTACATGTAAAAGAAGCCTTAGCAGTTAGAATTCAAAAAAGAGTAGGCTGTAGAGTTGGTGTCCGGACAGAATTTCCTGTATGGCATACACCCTACTTCATTAGCCTAATCGGTGCAGAAAGAGTTCGGAAGTTAAACTCCATTTCATTTCATTTCATTTATATGTTTATAATCTTACTAAACGAATATTTAATATTCGTTTAATCTGCATGCATGACAAATACAAATGTCGCTTTTTGTTAGGTCATTTAGCAGGGTGTGGGGGCTCTGCATTAAAAAATTGTGACTGTTCTTCATTGGTAGTCGATTGGTCCAACGCATGCCCTTGGGGTCTTTAATTGGTGGGGTTTCGATCCTACATCTCCTGTGCGTTTTCTGGGTCCTCCAATTTCCTCCCACTGCTAAAGACCCCTACGAGCAAGCGAGTTATTGAAATAAAATTAGTTAGTCCCCCAAAATGGTCTGGTTTTTGTTGACTGAACGTTGATTCTCTTTCTCTCTCTCTCTCTCTCTCTCTCTCAAACAAGACAGTGTTGCGTGATAAGAGTTGAATAAGTATGTAAGACGAAATTGATTTGAATTCTTCCATCAATGATTTAGCACAATTTGTAGAAATTATCTATGTGTAAATATATAATTTATTGTATATAAGATTAAATGTAATAAAGTTTGTATATTTCCTGTGAGTATATTTGAAGATAAAAAAACTGATGCCATCAATTTGGATTTCTTGGCATGTGGGTGTTCTTTAATCTAAAATGTCAGACAAAGTGTAAATCCAATAAAAACCATCATCGACCATTTATTTCAGATGAGATTCGGGTTAACTAGTCTGGGTTTTAATTCTGTTCATCAAGGATATCGACTATAAATCACTTAGGTTTTGTACCATAGGAGGAACTTGACACAATTTGCATTTCACCTCTGAGGGCCTTGGTCCCAGACAAGTGGGAAGCTTGGTTAATCCAGAAACGTTCCACCTTTGTTAAAACACAACCACCCCAAATATCTATCAATGTTGTCGATAAATGGCAACAGAAATGGTCTAAGAGAGATACATGCCATATAGAATGCTTCAAAATACCCAACATTATCAATCTCAACCAGCGGCGTATCTCTGGATAGGAGATCCGGGTGTTGTCTGCATTTCATGTCGGTTGAAATTATTTATCAAATATTACAGAAGTTCAGTTATATTGGCTATCCGTACTAGAGAAGTTACACGTAAAGAAGAAGATAAAATAACAACCAAAACATTCTATTATGATCATTAGTATGAAAGGATAACGTTGCCAATATTATTTCAATGTTCACGGTGCAAACTGCATATGTCAGCAGTTCAAAATACGTATTTTAGTTTTACAATTTGCAATGTCCACTGCTCCACAATACCAATGCACAGTGTTAAAATACAAGAATACACTTTTCAATAATACAAAATACAGTATAATAGTTATTTTGCACATTTCACTGCTCTGTTCTGTATTTTGCATAATATATAAATGCATAATAGAACTTAGCATATTAGAACATATACCTTATATGGGATCTACGACGAAGCTCATTTGCATACGGAAAAAAGTCCGGACTAGGACGGAAATTAATAATTTACGCGTTCAAACTACAAGGTCAAGGTCGGTAGAAGGGGCAGAAATCAAGCTGACATACAATAAGTTACCATACAATAAGTCGGCTTACAATCCGGGCCTTTTTACTTCATACCCCCCCCCCCTCACTTCAACTTTAATATTTTTATCTTTTTTATACGCCCACATTTTCACGTGGAGGTATATTGTCGCTCCTATCCGCCCGTCCGTTCACATTTATTTGTTGACACTCTACAGGTCACAATTTTTAATCCGATTTCGACAAAACTTGAAATATAGGTCTATCCCCCACGAATCTCGGTTCCTTTCGATATCGGCATGTATCGGACCACAACTTCCCGGATTATGGCACCCGATTGTACGAAAAATAACGTCTTTAGCTTGTGGACACTCCAGAATGCACAATTTTCATCTGAATTTGATGAAACTTGAAATGCATGTTTATAACCCAAGGATCTTGTTTCCTGTCGATATTCGCGCATATCGGATCGTAACTTCCTGAATTATGGCCCTTGATGGTGCGAAAAATCTCGTTTTTAGCTTGTGGTCCCTCTAAAGGTAACAATTATTATCATATATAAAAAAAAACGTTCGAATATATCACCGTTATACCGTAATGCTGGTTGAGTTCGAATTTCGAGAAAATGGACGCCACAAATAGTGTAAACAAATGGTATGTGGACCCCTAGAGGTCACAATTTTTATCCGATTTAAAAAAGAAAAACGTGTAAATATATCACCGTTACACCCTAATGATGCTTGAGTTCGAAATTCGTGAAAATCGGACCAAAACTGCCGGACAAAATGGCTGCCACTCGTACGCAAATAGTGTTAAAAAAAATATAGTATATCAAGGTTGTGGACCCTCTAGAGGCCACAATTTTGATCCGATTGTGATGGAACTTCAAATTTATGTTTATATCACAGAGATCTTGGTTGCTTTCGGTAATGGCGCATACCCATTATGACCACTGATTGTTCGAAAATTTTTAGATTGTGAACCCGCTAGAAGTGACAATTTGTATTCAATTTTAAAAACCGTTTAAATATATCACCGTTACACATCAATCGAGGTTGAATTCCAATTTCGTGAAAATCGGACCAGAACTGCCTGACAAAATGGTGGCCCCTTGTACGATAGTGTAAAAGAATTCACAATTGTTATCAGATTTTGATGAAACTTAAAATATATGTTTATGTCCCAAAGATCACGGTTCCTTTCGCTATTTGCGCATATCAGACCGTAACTTCCTGGATTATGGCCCCTGATTGTACGAAAAATCGTGTTCTTTTAGATTGTGGATACTCTAGAGGTCACAATTTTTTTTTATCCGATTTTAAAAACCGTTTAATGAAGGTTGAATTCGAACTTCCGGAAAATCGAAACGAAACTGCCCGACAAAATGGACGCTCTTTGTACGCAAATTGTGTAAAATTATGTAATACGGAGGTTGTGGACAATTTAGTAATCACAATTTTTATCAGATTTGGATGGAACTTGAAATATATGTTTATGTACCAAAGATCTCAGTCCCTTTCCATATTTGCGCACTTCAGACCATAACTTTGTGGATTATGGCCCCTGTTTTTAGCTTGTTCTCTATCCATCTCTTGCAAAATGTGGGTGTATCTTGCCTAGCAACCGCTGTTTTTTTCAAAGTAGGGAGTCACGGTGACTAAGTGGGTAACACGCTGGCTCGCTAGCCTGGAGGTCTTGTGTTTTTCGACGTGGTTTCACCTTGTCAGCGGTGCAGGACATCTGTCTAGTCCTTCGGATGGGACGAAAAACTTAGGTCTCGTGTACACATTGGCGTTCACGTAAAAGATCCCTTGGCAGTTGGAATTTGATATAAGAGTAGGCCATAGTGCCGCTGCCCGGGCAAAATTTCCCTCATAGCACACTGTATGGCGTATGTCCATCTTCATTATCCCGGTCGAAGCAGAACAGTAGGACGTTAAACCCCATTTCATATCATTTTTTCAAAGTATGTGCCAGAAAATTATTTAAATATTTGAGAAAGGAAATGAACGTGCGTTTTAGTGATACGTAACATGATATCTGGAATTCGTATTAAAACAGGTATGTTTACTTTAAATACCCGAACACCTATCATTTAATATAGTTTCGTACCACACACAAGACAACTATCTAATCGTTCGGGTGGTACGAAAAAACGAAGTCTCGTGTACACATTAGCGTACATGTAATAGATCCCTTGGCAGTCGGAATTCGATACAAAAGTAGGCCGTATATAGCGCCGCTGTCCGGGCAAACTTTCCCTCATGGCACACTGCATGGCGTATTAGCCCAGTCGGGCCAGAACATTTCATTTCATTTCATTAATCGTTTTCCAAAGTCTATAAATATGAGTTACGCCTCCTTCTACTGACCTTCATATTGTAGATTGATCGCCTAAATTATTAATTTCCGTCCTAGTCTTGACTTTTTTCCGTATGCAAATGAGCTTCGTCGTAGATCCCATATAAGGTATATTATGTTCTAATATACTAAGTTCTGTTATACATTTGTCTATTATGCAAAATGCAGAATGGAGAAATGTAATGTGCAAAAATAACTATTATAGTGTATATTTTGTATTATTGAAAAGTGTATTCTGTATTTTAACACCGTGACATTGGAATTATTGTGGAGCAATGGAAATTGCAAATTGTAAAACTAAAATACGTATATTGAACTGCTGACATGCACTTTGCACAGTTATTCTTCCATACATTAGGCTGCTATTACATAGGGTTATACGATATACGATATACGGTATTCGGTATATGGGCACGGCGGTTTAGCTACTATACGTAGGTATACTGGCCTGGTCAGTTATTTTCCCAACCGATTTTGGTACCCTCATCGAGGCTCATTCATATCCAAACAGAATGGATTCAGAAGAAGAGGAAACTCTGACTTGGTTTTTACTTGCGGAGGCTTGAAGTATGGTGGCGTGAAGGTCAGGCTTTGAGTCGGCTCATTCCAATATTGGGGGGGGGGGGGGGATAACTGGAAATCACTGTTCATGATAATCTAGAATAGTCTACCATGCCTAGAGATATGTCCATCAATGTTCAGAACGTTTGATTCGAACTTTTTACAACACAAATGCCCCATTTTCTACTCATTCCATGGAATTTTCTCCTCCCTGAAGCAAGTATCCGCCGAAAAAAAACCCAACATGCACGATACCATGTATACGCGTATAGTGTGCCCCTATACGCGTATAGTCCGATTAAACTGCTAAGCGAATTTCTGTTGTTCGAACACAAGTATTCGCGTATACCTCTAAACGTATACCGAATACCGTATACCCCTATGTAATAGCAGCCTTAGAGATGCTATCCTTACCCAGTGTAGCCGACTTGCACCTATAGGTCGATAGTCATTAATTTGTTGTCGAACTATTGATATGGATTTTATAACCATGACAATCGCTTTTTTCGACAGTTATTCATGTACTTATTATCTATTTGCTAGTGTGTGTGTGTGAAATTCCAATATTGATTGGTACAACCATACAACCCAGTTGAGGATCATGTGGCTAAGTGCGTAAGACGCTGGCTCGCTAGCCTGGAGGTCGGGTGTTCGATCCCTGCATTGGCCGAGAAAGTTCATCCAGATTTTCCGGCGTGGTTTCCCCTTGTCAGTGATGCAGGACGTCTAGTCCTTCGGATGATACGAAAAAACGAGGTCCCGTGTATATATTGGAATGCATGTAAAAGATCCCCTGGCAGTTGGAATTCGATATAAGAGTAGGCGATAGTGCCGCTGCCCGGGCAAAATTTCCCTCATAGCACACTGTATGGCGTATGCCCGTCTTCATTAGCCCAGTATAGGAGCAGAACATTAGGACGTGAAACCTTATTTTATTTCATTTCATTTCATACAACCTAGTTAGAT